CACCACTTGACCACTTGCCAACCTTCTAGAAGGACTGCAGCGGGACTTCTACTCTACAGGTCTACGGCTCAAATCCTGGCTACCTAAAGACCTACGACAGACCTACTTACCACTGGCGGTTCTACAGGKCGCAGGKTCAATTCTTCAAGTTGTCACAGATATTGTACACAGGTAAGTTGGGGAATTAGGGATCGAACCCTGGGTCCTACATCAGCTACTTCGAACTGGTGAATACCGTTTCACAATGCTGAAATGTGCCAGGGGATGGCGTGCAGCAGCCTGCTTGAGGCTGGCATGGAAAACAGACTAATAATAGTCTGTTCCCGAAACCGTGGTTCGGTGCCTGAGTTTCAGGGCCGGTCGTTCTGATGAACGACCGAAAATGGCTCAGGCTTTTGGCCTGAAGGACGCAGGCCTGCAAAATGGCCTGCGTGTGCACGCGCGCAGCATGTAACCCCCCCCCCTCCTCATGAAGTCAAGCCGGGGCGAGGGCGAAGCCGTCGATCTGAAGGTGGAACCTGGACGGGGGCGCGGCGTGGAGCCGAAGAAACCGGCTTGCCTTGCATCTTGCGCTCGTAGCGTGCAAGAACGTCTGGAGCTGTTGCTTGAAGTTCCGCACGGGTTAACCAACGGTCAGCTCGGTGTGTGCAGTATGCAAAATGCACTAAATACTCATTTGGCTTGTTGCCAAAGCGTCGCTGGGAGATGATGTCGCCGACCTCCTGAAACCATCCATAGAAGGTGGGTCTTGCGTACATCTCCCGGAAAAGTCGTCATGATCCACTGGTGTGTAGAGGGTCAGTTTGGAGCAATGAAAGACTGGGTAGACAGGCAAGTGGCTAGGCACCTGAATCGTGAAGGAGGGTCCTTCGGGTGCGTCCCCAACGGGCTCTATGATCGGCCAAGGCCCCATCCATTTCGAAAGGAGCTTGTGAGAGACGTCTTGTTCAAGGCTGAATTCCGCGGCGGAAACCCAGACGAGGTCCCCGGCGCGGAATGGACAAGGAAGACGCTGGCGATTGGCCTGCTGGCTCATGCGCTGCTGCGTCTTTGCCATTTGGTCGCGTGCCTTGACAAGAAGCTCTTGCATCCGACGCAAGAAAAGAAGATGCTCGTCGCTCTCGACCGTGCGTGGAGTAATAGTGTCCAACGGTGACGTGAGCGGCGAGCCATGCTCGAAATCAAAGGGCGATATCCCAATAACCGGGTGGATGGAAGAGTTATACCAACTCAACATCCGGCAGTCGCTCAACCCAGTCTTTCTGGTCGGGGCGGATGAGAGTGCGAAGGAAAACCTGTGCGGTCTGATGCGCCCTCTCCGTCTGGCCATCGGTCTGAGAGTGGCGAGCTGAACTGGGCTTGAGAGATGAGCCCCATCGCTTGATAAGCGCCAACCATAAATCGAACGTGAACTGAGTGTCGCGGTCACAGACGATCTCCTTGAGGTAACCCTTGGTGCGAATCCAACCGGCGTATAGAACCCCGGCCACCTCCGGTGCCTTGGCATGATAGCGACAAGGCAAAAACATGGCGAACTTGGTGAGTCGGTTGACCGCCGTGAGAATCCCATCCACTCCGGTCTTGTGCTTGGGGAACGGGCCAATAATGTCCATGGCAATCGCTTCCCTTCGCCTCAACGGGACTTGCAATGGTCGTAACTCGCCGTACGGACGATGGTTGCGGGATTTGCAGCGTCGGCAAACCTCGCATGACTCGCAATAGCGCGTGACGTCGCCAAGAAGGCCGGGCCACCAAAATCGCTGGCGAAGTCGGCCAATCGTGCGATTGACTTCAAAATGTCCAGTGGCGGGAGCATCGTGGAACTCACCAAGAAGCCGTGTATGCAAGTGAGGATCACTCGGTACGAAAAGAAGGTCCTTCCCCCTCGTGTAGACAAGCAAGTACCCCTCTTGGATCCGGTAGTGAGAAGGAGCCACATTAGGAGAGGAGCAATTCGCGTACTTGTCGCGAAACTCGGGGTCGGCTTGGTAGCCGCGGATGAAGATGTTCTGCCGGTCGTCGTCAATCTCGAAGGTCGAGTAGACTGCGGTACAATGATCCGGACACCGTGAAAGAGCATCCGCAAAACGATTCGACTTCCCAGGCATGTGTTTGGGAAAAAAGTCGAACTGGTCAATGAAAGCCATCCATCGAACGATGGTGCTGTTGACGGTGTCTTGGGTCTTGTAGAAGACCAACAGATTGTTGTCCGTTACCCATCGAAACTGGCTTCGACCAAGGAGGAAGTGCCGCCAGCGCTTGAGCGAGTGGACGAAGATGAGGAGTTCCTTCTTGCGTGCATCGTCAATGGAATGTACAAGGGGCACTTTCTTGCTGAAGTACTCGACCGGGTGCCAGTCCACACCATCATGTTGCTCGAGGACTGCACCAATGCCATAGCCTGACGAATCCGTAGTGACGCGTGTAGGCGCGAGCGGGTCGTATATCCGCAAGACCTCCGCAGACAATAGCGCAGCTTTGAGAGCGAAGAATGATCCTCGCGCCTCCTCTCCGAAGTCAAACGGCCAATCCTCGCACTGAAGTTTGTTCAAGTGGGCCGCGATCTTGGAGTAGCCTTTGATGAAGCGTTGATAGTAGCCGGTAAGACCGAGGAACGAACGGACATCCGTGACGTTCCGAGGCTCCGGCCACTCCTGGACGGCCTGAATCTTGTCCGATAGCGGACTGATGCCCTCCGGTGTGACAAAATGGCCCAAGTATTCCAGCTCTTGCCGGACAAATTCGCACTTGTCGCGGTTGGCCTTGTACTTGGCACGGCGGAGCGTCTCCAACACTCGTCGAAGATGTCCAAGATGATCCTCCAATCTCCGGCTRTAGACGAGAATATCGTCTAAGTAGACCAGCACGAACCGGTCCAACATTGCATGGAACTCATTGGTCATCGCTGCCTGAAAGGTCGCCGGGGCGTTGGTGAGGCAAAAAGGCATGACCACCCACTCAAAATGCCCGTACCGTGTCTTGAACGCGGTCTTGTAGCGATCGTTCGGCTGGATCGAGATTTGATGATATCCCGATTTCAAATCCAACTTCGAAAAATACTTCGCGCCGCCCAGCCGCTCAAGAAGATCGTTAATGCGAGGAAGAGGCCCCGCATTCTTGACGGTTTGCGCGTTGAGCTTGCGGTAGTCAATACACAATCGTAGATCCTTTTTCTTCTTCCTGACGAAGAGAACWGGTGCTCCATATGGGGAGCTAGTCGGACGAATCCAACCCTTGGCCAACAAATCATCGAGTTGTGCGCGGAGAACCTCAAGCTCCTCCTCGCTCATCCGATAGATGCAACCTTTCGGCGGCACGGCACCGGCCTCAAGAATGATCTYGTGAGAGATCGGCCGACCCGRCACCACACYGGTAGGTGACTCGAAGATGTCGGCGAACTCGTCCCGCRACCGCACCATACRGGGGTCCGAAGACAAGTCTGTGGGTGAAGAGTCGGCTACCGCGACGGTCCGTAGGAAACAAAGGCCGATCTCCTCGGGCTGCTCGTAAGCGCAAGTCGCCCGAAATGATTTGGCCGTCACCACTTGGCACCGGATCGAAGAGTGCGGTAGAGAAATAGTACACGCCACTTCCGCGCCGAAGGCGTCGCCAACGCTAAGAGTCCGCCGATGGAAGTTGACCGTGTGATCCGCACTTGCAAGCCAAGGCATTCCCAGAATGATGTCGAAATCCGTGTCGAGAATATCGAATGTTACCGGTTCGCATGCATGAGGTGTGAAGTAGACCGGTATGGCCTCGATGTACTGGTCGAGAAGTTGTTGCGTCTTTCCATCCGTCAACTTGATCGCCGTCGGGTTTTTCTTCCTCCGAACTTGTGCGCCAAGGCCAGCTCTTTGCATAAAAGACTGGCTCATGAAGTTGTGAGACGCGCCGCTATCCAGCAAAGCGCTGCAGGACGTTTKCCCATACTGAATGCGGACATACATGAGCGGTGCGTTGTTGTCATCGTCCCGCTGCGTGCGAAACTCGCGGGMCACCTTGGTARTATACGCCAGGATGTCCCCCACCRCGACTTMGTCATCCGTCGGCGAAGTTGGTGGTGCATAGAAGGATAGGTAAGTGTGAAGATTAGCRCTAAGTGTTGCGCATTGCGGTCCCGGCAAACAGCCTGTGGTCGGGAAAGGAAGCCATGCAAAGTCCTCAGACGTGAGCGGGTCCAATGCCTCTATATTGAACTCGCGCGCCGAATCCCRTGAAGAACCMYTTGAAGACGAACTGTCGCTGTTGCCGGACGGAGAAGAAACCGCACACACTCCTTGTCCTTGAGCTTGAGTACCCAGCGTTGGAACGAGTCGAGCAGCATAGTCCTCGAAAGAAAGTAGAAGTGGAGGACTGTCGACTTCC